GTCCATCGGAAGAGAGGGAGGTTGAAATTTGAAATTTTTTTGTGCACCTGTACTTATGATCCACAAAATAATAATAGCATTGCGCCTTTGCCCCGTGTCACCTTGTTGCTGCTGGAGGGCAATAAATAGTTAAACCCTCACCTGGACCACAAGTCAACAAACGCATGGAAGTCGACAAACACGCTCCAAAAATAGGGCCACGGCGTGGAGCTAATGTTTTTGCTTTTCCTGAACTTTTATTCTCAGATTGTTAGTGAGCTCAGTAAGCTCGGGCCCTTCCGGGGGATTTTTTTTCGCGGCATGGGCAGGGGCCGCAGGACTGATTGGCAGAATGAACACTTTTTGAGTAAGTGACGGTGACGCTCGACCGGTGAACACTTAACCCAGTGAATACGGAAGGTGACGCGTGACACCCTGTGAACCTTTGGTCGTAATAGTACAGTAGAGACCGCAAAGTCACTAGACAAGAGGACCCTCAAATAAGCTATCGTGGGCCAAGGAGGAGGCCGCCCTCACATCATTTAGAGGACCCGGTTGTATTTGATGCGGGAGTCGGAGGTTGGGTTCCTCCCGATGACATTTATTCTCGATTTGTTCTTTTTTTTTGATTCAGTTTGGCTCTGACGTGAGTAGTTGAGAACTGCAGATCCGTCAAAAGCTTTCAGCCTAATTGGTCCCAACAAAATACATGTAAAAGAAAGCAGAGTCAAAAATGCCATGGACAAAGCAATAGGCATTGAGAGGGATTTGAACCCTCAGCTGGTCAATAAGGGTTTAAAACACCTGCCTCATATCAAGGATCTGGGTTACCACTACCCATTAATGCTTTATCCTGTGGTGAAGAGGATAACATAGGCTTCTTGCAAGATGCAACCTTGAAGGATCTTGAAGGTTCAGATGGTGCCTTGAATGAAATCAAATTGAGAAAGCGAAGAAGTGAAAAGCACGAGAACTGAAAGCTATGATAGAACAAAAAAGTCCACCAGGAGAGCGTATGCATCAAGGGGAATCGAACCCCCGGTGGGTCGAAAATGCTCATTCATTTCCGATCATGGCAACAACCCAGGTGTCTGACATACAACGGATGTGTTGTGTTGAGCAATAAGGATTGTAAAAGTAAACACAGAAGATATGGAGGTACAAGGCAGAGGTAATATAAATAAAGGAAAGTGAGTTCATGTAGAGTGCCCGCAGCAAATAATTTGAGACTTCAGACTCGGGTGCAAAAACTGACAGCAAAAAAAACCAAGAGGTCGAAGAATGCATTACTTGAGAAGGATTCGAACCCTTGGCTGGTCACTAAATCAAACAGGATTCCCCGACTGGAAGGACCTGGGTTCCTATGACCCCATTAATGCTTGTTGAGGGGAGAGCTCTGGGGCTAATATCATATGCTTGCGGAAAGCTGGCAGGCACTTGACACAAAAGGATTTTTGACTGCAGTTCAAGAATTATTGTGCGTTGAATGAGAATCAAATTGGGGGAAACTGAGAATGGGATCTGATCAGCTCAAATCTGCGATTGAAAGAAAAAAAAACTAAAAAGAGAAAACAATGATCGGAACTCATGGTATATTATGCATTAAGAGGGAATCGAACCCTCAGCTGGTCACTAAACATTCAATCTTCGGTTATTGTGAGACTATCTCGTTATAATGCTTCTTGAAGGAAGGAACACCGGGCATAATGTGGGCTTGTGGAAACAAAATCCTCCGAAAGCCAAGAATTTGGTGGGTGCAGTTGGATCCGGAGCATTCAGCAAATAATTTGAGACCTCCAATTTGGAGGCAAAAACTGACAGCAAAACACCAAACTTGAGCGACATGCATTAAGAGGGATTTGAACCCTCAGCTGGTCTACCAAAAGTTCAATATCTGGTTATTGTGAAGACCTAGGTTATCATACCCCATTGAGGGGGGAACACTAGGGATAATATCATAAGCTTGCGGCAAGCCAGCAGGCACTTGACACAAAAATGATTTTTGACTGCAGCATAAGAGTATATTTGTGTCTTGGATTGGAATCAGATTGAGGGAAAGTGAAAGTGAAGCTTAAAGCTGCGATTAACCATAGACACAAAGGGAGGAGAAAAATACAACTTGGATTGAACATGCATTAAGGGGCAATCAAACCCCCGGCAGGTTGATATTGACATGGAGGTGCAATGGTAACAACCCAGGTCACCACTACCCCATTAATGCCTACTGGTATATGTTTGGGCTGGCATTTGGTGTGAATGTGTGTTGAAAAAGTCCCTTTTGGGTTATAAGGGCTTAGGAAGACTTACAGACTTATAGGCCCCTTATGTCAGTATTACGGCAGGGTTATAAACACTTATAGCAGCATATAAGTTCCCCAGTCCCTGGCTAGCATTTTTGAAATCTTACGGCTTGAGGAGACAGTTAAACATCATATTTGCGTGATGTATTCAATTTCTTTGAGAAGTCTGCATAGGTGGAGAATCAGGTTACGGAAACAACCTGCTGCAGGTAATTTTTGTAGCTGCCTCCAGGATGATCCCAGGCCTTGTCGCATTACACATGCTAGTGCAAGTGACCAGAGGGAGTGGGAATCATTGAAACAAAGGCCAGAGGAACAGAGGACAAAGTTCTGGGGGGACCAGAGGGCAGAAGGATGGAAGTGGATGGAACATGGAACAGAAGCTGGAGTGGAAGATGGAGCATAGGACAGAGGATGATGTGGGCTTGTGGGAATCTTGGCTCCAGATGTTCGGGCGGAGATCAGGCAGAAAGTGATGGGAAAACAGCAGTGGGATCACCGCCAACACTCAAAAAAGCAAAATGATAATGTGAATTGCTTTGACTGGGTCACTTGCATCCAGTCCAACAGGAATCAAGGATTTAATTAAATACATTGTGCCTTGAAGGGAAATTAAATTGAGGAAGCGTGGAAATGCGAAGTGAGAAGTGGAAGATGAGGTTGAACAAGAATTGAGGCAAAGAATACGGGACAATTAGCCTATGCATTAAGGGGGAATTGAATCCCTGTAAGGGCATCCTCAGCTCAGCGCAAGAGCATGGGAACTAGCAGGAGAATCCAAAGAGAACTCAATTCACAGTACTAGATACAGAGTCTAGGAATATGCACCTAGCGGGAGAATCCGAAGAGAAGAAAGGATGAGGATTCCCATGCTAGGTGAGGTTTATATAACAACTAGGTACTAGCCAGTAGCACATGTCTGAAGTGATCGGCAGTGGTCCCAGGCCTGATCGCATAGCGTGTTCCAGTGCGAGCGGCTGGACAAAGGGAGGCGAGGGGGAACGGAGTCTGGAGGGGCGGGGGGCAATGTTCCGGGTGGAGGCATAGCCTGGAGTGTGGACAGGGGCTCCGGACGGAAGGCCAGATGGATGGGCGACGCCGGAGGGGAGGCTGGACGAGGAGGGGGCTCTGGACGAAGGATCGGACGAGGAGGCAGGGCAGTATCATGGGCTGGAGCCGGATGGACGGATGGACGGAGGGCCGGACAGGGGGTTCCCCTGACAATCCCCAGCAGGTCAAGAACGCAACAAGCATCCTACTGAATGGCAACGACCCAGGTGACCACTACCCCATTAATGCTTACTGGCTCCAGGGTGTGATTGGCACTTCAGATGGATCCTGGTGGTCAGGAAAGAAAGAGCAAAAGGAAATGGATGGAAATGAATGCAGAGATGAGAACATTATAGTATGTGCAGGGCAGGGGGAGGGCAAGTGAATTTGTGGAGATTATTGCAGAGCCCGAGAAGCAGGCAGACAATTTGAGATGTTGGATTTGGAGGAAAAAACTGATAGCCCAAAACAGTGAAGCTAAAAAAGCATGCATTAAGAGGGATTTGAACTAGGCTTGTGAACCAGCCGGTCCAGTGGTAAGTGATGGCATCACAGAACTCTGATCCCATCGCAAACTCAGGGTAACCACCTGGACCGGCTGGGCCCCCGCGTCGCCTGTTTCAGTGAGGGATTTTCGCCCCGCCATTTCAGAGGTTTGAGTTAGAAAAATCACGCAAACCTCGATTTTCCACTTTGTCCCCTGCTAAGTATTACCCCAAGGTACACCCCCAATTTGGTCAGATCTTTGAGCCGCCTCTAACCGGGGATATCACAGAAGATTTTGGCGGAGATATATGGGATGTCCTATCCGAGATCTCAGAACCATTTTTTAAAACCCTGCTTAAAACCTCAGTACAATGCCTTCACAATATCATAGAAACATATATTCAAGGTTCCATATTCTATCTACTGATGAGGTCGGTCAGGTGTAATAGTTACTCATGGCCTTATCAAGTAATTAGGACACCGATTGTTGAATTTTATTCTTGAATATCTTCGTCTTTGTCCAAATCCTCTGGTTCATCGTTGCTCTCCCTGTCACAAGCAGCCTTGGCCAATTTGTTTTTCTCCCGGTGGGTCGAGAACACCCATAAATATGGCACGCCATGGAAACGACCCAGGTTACCACTACCCCATTAATGCTTCTAGCTGTGATTGGCACTTCAGATGGATCTTGGTGGTTAGGAAAGAAAGAGCAAAAATAAATGAATGGAAATAAATGCAGAGGCAGAGAGAAGGCAAGTGAGTTTGTGGAGATTATTGCAGAGTCCGAGAAGCAGGCGGATAATTTGAGACATTGAATTTGGAGGCAAAAACTGAGAGCCAAAAACAGTGAAGCTATACACACATGCATTAAGAGGGATTCAAACCCTCGGCTGGCCACAGCTCTAGCAAAGCATGAATATATGTATGACCCTGGTTACCATACCCCATGAATGCTTGGTGAGGGAAGGAAGGCTGGCAATAATACCATACATGATTTGGGCTTGTGGAAAGCAGGCAGGCTGATGCAAATGGCTTTTTTGACTTGGGTACCAGTAAAAGTAAAGATTTAGAGTTTTTGAGGGATGGAAAAGTGTTGAATGAAATTGAGAATAGCGAAAGTGAAAGCTCAAAGGTGCGTGAACGAAAGATAGAATACCGCAAAAAAGCCTCCTTCAGAAAGATCAATGCATTAAGGAGGATTCAAACCCCCGGTGGGTCCAGAACACAGCAACTTATCACGATATAGCAACAACCCAGGTTACCACTACCCCATTAATGCTTCTAGTTCAGGGGTGTGATTGGCACTTCAGATGAATCCATGTGGCCAGGAAAGAAAGAGCGACAAGAAATGAATGGAAATAAATGCAGAGATGAGAACAATATAGTATGTACAAGGCAGAGAGAAGGCAAGTGAATTTGTGGAGATTATTGCAGAGTCCGAGAAGCAGGTGGATAATTTGAGATGTTGGATTTGGAGGCAAAAACTGAGAGCCAAAAACACTAAAGCTTATCAAGCATGCATTAAGAGGGATTCAAATCCTCGGCCGGCACAACTTTGTCAGTGCATGGTTATTTGTATGACCCGGGTTACCATACCCCATTAATCCTTGGTAAGGGAAGGAATGCTGGTGATAATATCATACATGATTTAGGCTTGTGAAAAGCAGGCAGGCCAATGCAATTTTTTTTTTTTTGACTTGGGTACCAGTAAAAGTAAAGATTTAGAGTTTTCAAGGGATGGAGCAATGTTAAATCAAATGGAGAAAAGTGGAAGTGAAAGCTTCAGGGTGCGTGAACCAACCATAAAATAGCGGAAAAGGGTATCTTTGGACAGGTCATATGCATTAAGGGGAATTGAACCCCCAGCAGGTCAAGAACGCAACAACGTATCACAGTATGGCAACAACCCAGGTTACCACTACCCCATCAATGCTTCTGGTCTAAAGGTGTGAATAGCACTTCAGATGGATCCTGGTGGTCAGGAAAGAAAGAGCAAAAAGCAATGAATGGAAATAAATGCAGAGATGAGAACATATATAGTATGTACCATGCAGAGAGAAGGCAAGTGATTTTGTGGAGATTATTGCAGAGTCCGAGAAGCAGGTAGATAATTTGAGACGTTTGAATTGGAGGCAAAAACTGATAGCCAAAAACAGTGAATTCGAAGGTAAACAAACATGCATTAAGAGGGATTTGAACCCTCGGCTGGTCACAACTCTGGCTGAGCATGGTTATTTGTATGGCCCGGGTTACTGTACCCCATTAATGCTTGGTGAGGGAAGGAAGGCTGGCAATAATATCATACATGACTAGCGGATGCCCGTGAATAAATTCACGGGCTAGCGCAGGTCCAGTAACCCTTACTCAAATCCTATCCCATGTCCTGTCCTGCATGCTAAGCCCTCTCTAGTCCGAATCCTGATCGTCTGTGTGGCCTTCACATCTCATTCCCGTCCTGCAGCCTGCTTGGTTCTCCTCAGTACTCAAATTTTGATTCTGAACCACAGGTCTTGCATTTTTACAAAGCCTCCGTTGCGTGGATTGAGCAGAACCTGTTATAACTTGCAAGACAGAAGTCTGTGTTTGCCACCGCTTCCCGTCAGTGCTCCCTGTACTGTAGAACATGAAATAATAGATAGGATGCGCATCAGCCACATGCGGCTTTTGGCACTTGCGCAAAGCCGCATGGGATTTTTGGTTTTTTATATATAATTATGAGTTCAATGGCCTTCAAATCTATATTCCAGGCTTAAACCCTGTGCCTCTTGAATTCACTTGCAGAGCACACGTGAGAAATGCGCTATTTCGACGGTATTTCCAACATCACTGCGCGGCTAATGGGATGACATCTGGAAGGCTGCCGTATTGTGGAGGCAGTCAACACTAGAACGGTCGGCCAGACAAAACTAAGAGTAGCCCAGAATGACAGAACAATAGTGTGGTCATTCAAGAGGGGCCACTATAGAGGGGTACATGGTGGTCAAGACCAAGAAGAGAAGATCCGTAACTACGGGACAGTCACAATCAATGTGCAATCAGATATGTAACAAGGATAAGTAGAATGTAACATAAGATGTGAAACATAATATAAGATAAGGACTTAACAACAGTAATGTAAAAGGTAGGATGTCGAAGAGTGGGATAGTAGCAATACAATAAGGGTGGCTGGATGGCAGTGGTGCAGTGTGAATAGCACAGAACAGTGACAGTACAATTTGGATAGCAAAGGTTGAACTAATCCGGGAAGGAAAAGATTGGACAGTGCTGAGGAAAGTAGTAAGGTTGGTGGAGCAGCCTTACAACATCACACATGTCGCAGTGGATTGATCGTCAATTCAACACTCACCATACTAGTACACCAGATTCACCAGACGCGACCAGTACACTTGATTGCATGTATTATATTCAAAAATATGGCTTTGGATTCTTGCCCAAACAAATTTTCTGGTGCGGCTTTGCGCAATGCACGAAAGCCGCATTGCGTGAACGAAACATAGAATACCGCAAAAAGGTTTCCTGCAGAAAGATCCATGCATTAAGGGGAATTGAACCCCTGGCAGGTCAATAATGCACACCACATATTGCCGTGTGGCAAGGACCCAGGTTAGCACTACCCCATTAATGCTCCCTAGTGGAGTACTGTGTTTGGCACTTGGGACGGATGTGATGGTCAGGAAAGAGCCAAAAGAAAAGAATGGAAATAGCCCATCAAACATGCATTAAAAGGGATTCAAACCCTCAGCTGGCCACAACTCTGGCTGAGCATGGCCACTGGCATGACCCGGGATACCATACCCCATTAATGCTTGGTGAGGGAAGAAACACTGGTGATGATATCACACATGCTTTGGGCTTGTGGAAAGCAGGGAGGCTGATCCAAATGGATTTTTTGACTTGGGTACTGGCAAAAGTAAAGATTTAGAGTTTTCAAGGGATGGAGCAGAAATGTTGAATTAAATTGAGAAAACGAAAGTGTAAGAAAAAGTGAAAGCTCAAAGGTGCGTGAACGAAACATGAAATACCACAAAAAGGGGTTTTTGGGACATGCCGTATGCATTAAAGGGGAATCGAACCCCCGGCGGGTCGAGAAATAGTCACCAGTTACGGCCCATGGCAACGACCCAGGTTACCGCTACCCCATTAATGCTTAAGGGTGAAATGTTTGGTTGGGCTATGAATGGATGGGATAAATTGAGCAATTAGTAGATATAGCACTGAAAGCAAAGCAAAAGCAAAGACTGAGAGTAAAATGGGAGTAGATAAGTTAGAAGCCAGAGAAGGCAGGAGTCCCAGCAGCATTCAAGTAATGATTAGAGTTGTGGCAAAAGCAAAGAAAAGAACCCACACAATGGGGCATGCATTAAGAGGGATTTGAGCCCTCAGCTGATCTGTAAATTTGAGATCAATTGGGTTGTGATGACCCTCTACCCCATTAATGCTTGTTGTGGGCAGGAATGCTGGGGATAATATCATACATGATTTGGGCTTGTGGTAAGCAGGTAGGCTGATGCAAAGGGATTTTTTGACTTGGGTACTGGTGAAAGTAAAGTTTTAGAGTTTTCAAGGTGAATCAAATTGAGAAAAGTGAAAGCTCAAAGGTGTGTGAACGAAACATACAATACTGCAAAAAGGCTAGACTTGAGCCAGTCAATATTTCTGAGTAATGATGACAGTTGATCAATACAGCAGTTAAATAACGACTGGAAGATAATCACCGGTGGCTTAGTGACCGGAGATTTCCTATCAATGAATTTCAGACTTGACCAAAATTTTCGCTAGCGCATTGTAAAAGTGTTTTGTATGCAAAATTTGAGCAGACAGTGTTGTGATGATTGCAATTAAAAGACTTTGAGTGTTTTTTGTTTTTCAATTCACGCAGAACTGACCCTGCTATGAATTTCACAATGAAAGCCATGAAACCACGTGAATTGACAGCTGAAAGTCCAATGACTGTCAAGGATGACGCGAGTACCTTAATTACAGCAATTGGCAGTACCGAAGGCGCGGATTGAAAAAGTTCTGTTTTGGGATGTTTTTGAAGAATTCCCGATATCTCAACGAGTTCTGCACCGATTCACGTGAAAACTAGATAGAAATACTCAGCTAATTCATGCCAAATTAGTGATAGAACGAAAGTTGTAAAAATGATGTATATTCAGTGACATTGGGTTAATGGGCCATTTTGTGGATGAATGCAGTTTACAGGGATCTAGACACATCCAAATGATGTCGCCTTGTGTCAGGTAAGGGTCTGATGCATTCTGCAAGTTGTCATAGATTCAGATTTGCAAAGGACTCAGCAGTGGATTCAAATTTCACAATATTTCCTGATTACAATATATTGCTCATATCCTGATGTGTTTACAAGGATGATAGATTGAACTTTTGAGCATTACAACTCTATGACAAGTTTAAGGATGTATCAAAGCTTTACCTGACAAAAATCCACATCATTTGGATGTGTCTAGATGCCTGTAAACTGCATTCATCCACAAAATGGCCCATTAACCCAATATCACTGAATATACATTATTTATACAACTTTCTTTCTATCACTAATTCGGCATGAATTAGCTGAGTATTTCTATCTAGGTTTCATGTGAATCGGTGCAGAACTTGTTGAGATATCAGGAATTCTTTAAAAACATCCCAAAACCGAACTTTTCAATCTGCGCCTTTGGTACTGCCAATTGCTGTAATTCATTGAAGTCGCATTCTCCATTCTCTGGGAAAATGAAAAACATCCGAAGTCTTGTAATTTTGAGCGCTAAAAGACTGTCTCTTCCGATTTTTGATTCAAAATACTTTTACAATGGACTATCGATGTTTTTGACTAAGTCAGAACATCATTGATCGGCAATGTCCGGTCACTAGGCCACCGGTGATTATCTTCCAGTTCCTCCGGTGCACTGATCAAACTTGATCTTTTGCGCCTGGGACTGGTTCGAGTCTACAAAAAGGCTTTCTTGAGAAGGATCAATGCATTAAGGGGGAATTGAACCCCCGGTGGGTCGAGAACACAAAGACACCTGGAACATTATGGCAACAACCCAGGTTACCACTACCCCATTAATGCTTCTAGTCCAAGGCTGTGATTGGCACTTCAGATGGATCCTGGCGATCAGGAAAGAAAGAGCAAAAAGAAATGAATGCAGAGACAAGGACAATACATATGTACAAGGCAGAGGGAAGGCAAGTGGATTTGTGGAGATTATTGCAGAGTCTGAGAAGCAGGTAGATAATTTGAGATGTTTGATTTGGAGGCAAAAACTGAGAGCCAAAACCAATGAAGCTACACATGCATGCATTAAGAGGAATTTGAACCCTCGACTCATGGTCATCTGTATGACCCAGGTTACCATACCCCATTAATGCTTGGTGAGGGAAAGAACGCTGGCGATAATATAGATACATGATTTGGGCTTGTGGAAAGCAGGCAGGCTGATGCAAATGGATTTTGACTTGGGTACTGGGAAAAGTAAAGATTTAGAGTTTTTAAGGAATGCAGGAATGCTGAATCCAATTGAGAAAAGTGAAACTGAAAGGAAAAGTGAAAGGTGCGTGAACGAAACATAAAATACCGGCAAAAGACATTTTTTTGAACCATTTATGCATTAAGGGGGAATTGAACCCCCGGCGGGTCGAGACTTCAATGCCAATAACCCATGGCAACGACCCAGGTTACCACTACCCCATTAATGCTTGGCAGTGGCATACAGATGGTTTGGTTAGGACCTGGTAGGGATGACATGTGGTGAGCAATAAGTAGAATAGAAGAACATGCACTGGTTGAACATTTCAAGTTTTTCAGCAAAAATATGGGTGAAAATTAATTTGAGTTTTTCACTTGTATTTTCAATCAAAAGTTGGGTGAAAATTTTATAACTTTTTCATTAGTTTTTCACGTCTTTCAAATTTTTTACCACATTGCTCGAAAATTGGTGAAAAACTCATGAATTTTTCATGTAATTTCTGATTGAAAAACTGATGAAAAACTCTGTTAATTTTTTACCAGTTTTTGAGGTCAAAAACTTGAATACTTCAACCAGTGATGCAAAGCAAAGACTGAAAATAATATAGTACAAGACATAGAAGTGAGCTTGAGTTTGGAGTCCCAGCAGTGTTTGAACTGTTCAGAACAACGGATTCGGGTGCGAACACTGAGAAAAAAAGAGTATTGTGGAGAGAGAATGCATTAAGAGGGATTTGAACCCTCGGCTGGTCTTTAATTGTGTCATCGGCCCATAACTTTCAAGACCTGGGTTACCTCTACCCCATTATTGCTTGAGGGTGTTCACTGTGCCAGCAGTGGAGAGGAGGTGGGTTTGTGCAAACCAAATACTGAAAAAAGCAAAATGGGAATGTGGACTGCTTTGACTGGGTTGTAAATTGCATCCAAGGATTTCAGGTGGTGCGCGTTGAATAGGAAATTGAGCAAAGCAAAAGTGGGAACTGGGAAGTTCAGAGGCCAAAAAAATTGCTCAGGTGCAGCGAATGCATTAAGGGGGAATCAAACCCCCAGCAGGTTGAAAGTTTTTGCGCCTTTTCAATGGCAACGACCCAGGTCACCACTACCCCATTAATGCTTGCACAGTGGCACACAGATGGTTTAGCTAGCACCTGGTAAGCATGTAGTGTGATGAGCAATAGGTAGAATAGAGCAAAGACTGAGGATAATGTAGTACAAGACAAAGAAGGCAAGAAGAAGTGAGCTTGAGTTTGGCATCCCAACAGCGTTTGAACAGGTCAAGACGACAGAATCGGGTGCGAACACTGAAAAAGAAAAACTTTGGGAGATTGCAAATGCATTAAGAGGGATTCGAACCCTCAGCTGGTCTTAAATGGTGATCCCAAACTCATACTTTAAAGACCCGGGTTACCTCTACCCCATTAATGCTTCATAGTAGCAAATTCACTGTGCCAGCAGTGAAAAGGATGAGCTAGGTTTGTGGAAACAAAATGCTGAAAAAAAGCGAAATGGTAATGTGAATTGCTTTGACTTCTAGAATGAAGGATTTCAGATGGTATGCCTTGAATGGAAATGAAATCGAAAGCCTCATTTTGCACGTGGTTGAATGAAATCTTTTTAAAAAGCATAGCTCACTCAGAAATGCATTAAGAGGGAATCAAACCCCCGGTGGGTCGAGACTTGAAAACTCAACTCAATGGCAACGACCCAGGTGACCACTACCCCATTAATGCTTGGCACTTGCCTACAGATGGCTTGGTTAGCACATGGTAGGGATGTAATGTGGTGAACATAGAAGAACATGAAAAGCAAAGACGATAATATAAAGTAGTACAAGACAAAGAAGGCAAGAAGTGAGCTTGAGTTTGGAGTCCCAGCAGGGTTTGAACAGTTGGAGACAACAGATTTGGGTGCGAACACTGAAAAAAGAGAGTCTCACAGATAAAGAATGCATTAAGAGGCTATGGATGGTGAATGCCTTGAGAGGGATTCGAACCCTCGGCTGGTCTCTAAATTTGCCCCTCGTGCTTGGAACTTTGAAGACCTGGGTTACCTTTACCCCATTAATGCTTGCCAGCAATTAAAGCCATTCAGTGTGCCAGCAGTGGAAAGGATGTGGTGGGTTTGTGGAAACAAAAATGCTGAAAAAAAGCCAAAAAATGGGAATGTGAGTTGCTTTGACTTGCATCCAGAATCAAGGATTTCAGATGGTATGTTAGGAATGGAAAGGAAATTGAAAGTCTCATTTTGCACGCGGTTGAACGAAAAATTGAAGAAAAAAAAAACACAGTTTGCTGGCGAATGCATTAAGAGGGAATCGAACCCCCGGCGGGTCGAAACTGGACACACGATTTCAGATGGCAACGACCCAGGTTACCACTACCCCATTAATGCTTGGCACTTGCATACAGATGGTTTGGTTAGCACCTGGTAGGGATGTAATGTGGCATGAGAAATAAGTAGAATAGAAGAACATGAAAAGCAAAGACTGAGGATAATACTGTACTATTTCGATCAATTCGGCATGGGTTGTGACCCGTGACCGAAAACACCGATTCGGCACTTCGGCAACCAGCCAATTTTGGCGTGACTTCTTCAAAAATTCGGCCCTCAAGACGAAAAATTTCGAAAAATGTGCCTTTTTTGCACCTCCAAGGAAGATTTGGCCCGGATGTCACCAATTTTACATTCGGCACTGGGCGCCGTGACCGGTGACCAAGACCGAAATTCATCGCGGCACAGGGGGTGCGTGATGCGTGACCGCCGAATTGATCGAAATAGTACAGTATACTAATAGTACAAGACATAGAAGGCAAGAAGTGAGCTTGAGTTTGGAGTCCCAGCAGTAAAAGATCTCCCACAGCAGTGTTTGAACAGTTCAAGACAATGAATTTGGGTGCGAACACTGAAAAAAAAAATTGTATCACTAAGAAGGAATGCATTAAGAGGGATTTGAACCCTCGGTTGGTCTTTGAAGTGCGGTGTACCCATTGACTTTGAAGACCCAGGTTACCTCTACCCCATTAATGCTTGATCACAAACTGTTCAGTGTGCCACCAGCAGAGAGGAAGAGGTGGGTGTGTAGAAACAAAATGCTGAAAAAAGCAAAATGGGAATGTGAATTGCTTTGACTTGCATCCAGAGTCAAGGATTTCAGATGTTATGCCTTGAATGGAAATGAAATCGAAAGTCTCATTTTGCACGCAGTTGAACAAAAAATTTTGAAAAAGTATCACTCACTTCCAAATGCATTAAGAGGGAATCAAACCCCCCGGCAGGTCGAGAGAGCCAGAAGTATCACCTCATGACAACGACCCAGGTTAGCACTACCCCATTAATGCTTGGCCCTGGCACATAGATGGTTTAGCTAGCACTTGGTAGAGATGTAATGTGATGAGCAATAGGTAGAATAGAAGAACATCATAAGCAAAAACTAAGGATAATATAGTACAAGACAAAGAAGGCAAGAAGAAGTGAGCTTAAGTTTGGAGCCCCAGCAGTGTTGAAACAGTTCAAGACGACGGATTCGGGTGCGAACACTGAAAAATAAAAAATGGTAGGCAGACTTGCAATGCATTAAGAGGGATTTGAACCCTCGGCTGGTCTTTAATAGTGGTCCCAAGCTCATACTTTGAAGACCTGGGTTATCTCTACCCATTAATGCTTGCTAGCCAACTGTTCACTGTGCCAGCAGTAGACAGGATGAGGTGGGTTTGTGGAAACAAAATGCTGAAAAAAGCGAAATGGGAATGTGAATTGCTTTGACTGGGTTGCTTGCATCCAGAATCAAAGATTTCAGATGGTACAATGCCTTGAATGGGAATCAGTGAGCACGGCGCTGAACGCAAAAAAATGACTTGAGCTCTTAATGCATTAAGGGGGAATCGAACCCCCGGCGGGTCGAAGCATGCCTTAAAGTTTGGAATGGCAACGACCCAGGTTACCACTACCCCATTAATGCTTGGCCTGGCACTCACATGGTTTAGCTAGCACCTGGTAGACCTGTAATGTGGTGAGCAATAGGTAGAATAGAAGAACATGAAAAGCAAAGACTGAGGATAATATACTAATACTACAAGACAAAGAAGGCAAGAAGAAGTGGGCTTGAGTTTGGAGTCCCAGCAGGGTTTGAACAGTTGGAGAAAACAGATTTGGGTGCGAACACTGAAAAAAGAGAGTCTCACGGATAAAGAATGCATTAAGAGGGATTCGAACCCTCAGCTGGCCACAACCTCCTTTGTGCATAATTATTTGTATGACCCGGGTTACCATACCCCATTAATGCTTGGTGAGGGAGGGAATGCTGGGGATAATATCACACATAATTTGGGCTTGTGAAAAGCAGGCAGGCTGATGCAAATGGATTTTTTTAGACTTGGGTGCCAGTGAAAGTAAAGATTAAGAGTTTTTAAGGGATGGAGTGATGTTGAATCAAATTGAGAAAAACAAAGGTGAAAGGGAAAGTGAAAGCTCAAAGGTGCGTGAACAAAAGATAAAATACCAGCAAAAGCTGTTTTTTACGACTTCAATGCATTAAGGGGGAATCAAACCCCCGGCGGGTCGAAACTTTGTGCGTCTTTTCAAATGGCAACGACCCAGGTTACCACTACCCCATTAATGCTTGACACCTGGCAAACAGATCCTTTAGCTAGCACCTGTTAGGCAGGTAATGTGGCATGAGGAATAGGTAGAATAGAAGAATATGAAAAGCAAAGATTGAGGATAATATACTAATAGTACAAGACATAGAAGGCAAGAAGTGAGCTTGAGTTTGGAGTCCCAGCAGATGGAATTGGGTGTGAACACTGAAAAATAAAACAGGGCGAACTTTTGAGATGCATTAAGAGGGATTTGAACCCTCGGCCGGTCCGTAAAGTTGGGCACAAAATCGGACAAATTTGAAGATCTGGGTTACCTCTACCCCATTAATGCTTGATAGTGGTAAGTTCACTGTGCCAACAGCAGAGAGGATCAGGTGGGTTTGTAGAAACAAAATGCTGAAAAAAGCAAAATGGGCATGTGAATTGCTTTGACTTGCATCCAGAATCAAGGATTTCAGATGATGTTATGCATGGAATGGAAATGACATCGAAAGTCTCATTTTGCATGCAGTTGAACGAAATTTTTTTGAAAAAGTACAGTGTACAGCTGAATGCATTAAGGGGGAATCGAACCCCCGGCGGGTCGAATACTTCATCCGAGGCAGGGTCCATGGCAACGACCCAGGTTACCACTACCCCATTAATGCTTGGCACTTGCCTACAGATGGTTTGGTTAGCACCTGGTAGGGATGTAATGTGTAGTGCAATAGATAGAAGAGAAGAACATCATAAGCAAAAACTGAGAACATATAGTACTCGTCATCACCGAAAGTAACCGGAAATTGATCGATTGTGACAGATCACGTGGACTGGGTTCAACCATACCTTACCACCAGATACCTACTGATATTAGCTGCAGACCGCATAACTTTTTTTGGGGAGAATTGCCCCAGTATTGCTCCATAGGGACCAGAAAAGATTAGTGACCCGTCTTTTAATTATGCCATTTTATCCAGCAGTCAAAAGAAACTTTGCAAAGAAATTACCAGAGCCTGAAGGCAAAGTGGGTTACCTTGCAATCAATGGGCAGACATTTCTGGTAGATTCTGGAATGGTTAAGTTTGTGATCATGTCCCATATTCCTGCGGCAAATTGTGCTGTAGCGTTATCTGTCATATTTCAGAATTACTCATTGAACAAGGGATTCAGATGGTAATTGGTCATGTAGAACATCATCAATGTATAGACCAATTACTCTGGAGTGCTCCAGTCAGGTCTTGCACAAAGTTGAGTTGTTCACAGTTCCATTTTGGGGGTTTACTGGATAGCAGCTTGCACAAGATCCATGCAGATATGACTTGGCCTGAAAAATGTGTTGCTTATGAGCATCAATTCACTTTACTTGAGTTCTAAGTAATGAGGCATATGAAGCATATCCTAAGGCATGGTGCTGACCGCTTAAAACTACATACCTACTTGCATGCTAAGCCCTACATCTCAATTTTTGACACAAGTAACAAAAATGAGCAGGCCTTAAACAATTGATCTCAATAAAGTGTGTACATGATTGTTGATACCAAATTTATTCTGGAGGGCAAGAATATATCCAGATGAACATCCCTAGGCAGTCACACTAAGAATATTCAACAAATTTCAGCTGTAATAGGGCAATTTCCGGTTACTTTCGGTGATGACGAGTACAAGACAAAGAAGGCGGGAAGAAGTGAGATTGAGGTTGGCGTCCCAGCAGGGTTTGAACAGTTCAAGACAACGGATTTGGGTGCGAACACTGAAAAAAGAAAAAGACTATTTCGGAGAGAATGCATTAAGAGGGATTCGAACCCCCGCCTGGCCCGTAAAGTTTTCATGGAATTTTGGAACTTTGAAGACCTGGGTTACCTCTACCCTATTAATGCTTGATGGCAGAAAGTTCAGAGGAGAGCAAGAGGTGGGTTTGTGAACTGAAAAAAGCTGTGAATTGTTTGGATTTGCATCCAGAATCAAAGATTTCAGATGTTATGCATGGAATGGAAATGAAATCGAAAGTCTCATTTGGCACGCGGTTGGACGAAATTTTTTGAAAAAGCATAGCTCGCTCGAAGATGCATTAAGGGGGAATCGAACCCCCGGCGGGTCGAGACTTAACACTTCATTTATGATGGCAATGACCCAGGTTATCACTACCCCATTAATGCTTGCACAGTGGCACGCAGATGGTTTGGGTGGGTGGCACCTGGTAGGGATGTAATGTGGCATAAAAAATAGGTAGAATAGAAGAACATGCAAAGCAAAGACTGAGGATAATATACCATTAGTACAAGACAAAGAAGGCAAGAAGTGAGCTTGAGTTTGGAATTCCAACAGGGTTGGAACAGTTGAAGACGACGGATTCGGGTGTGAACACCGAAAAAAAAATTGTATCACTAGGAATGAATGCATTAAGAGGGATTCGAACTCTCGGCTGGTCTTTAACTGCAACACTTAAACTCAAACTTTGAAGACCTGGGTTACCTCTACCCCATTAATGCTTGACAACATGCAGTTCACTGTGCCAGCAGTAGAGAGGATGAGGTGGGTTTGTGGAAACAAAATGCTGAAAAAAGCGAAATGGGAATGTGAATTGCTTTGACTGGGTTGCTTGCATCCAGAATCAAAGATTTCAGATGGTACAATGCCTTGAATGGGAATCAGTGAGCACGGCGCTGAACGCAAAAAAATGACTCGAGCTCTTAATGCATTAAGGGGGAATCGAACCCCCGGCGGGTCGAAGCATGCCTTAAAGTTCGGAATGGCAACGACCCAGGTTACCACTACCCCATTAATGCTTGGCACTGGCACACAGATGGTTTAGCTAGCACCTGGTAGAGATGTAATGTCCTGAACAATAGGTACTTAGAATAGAAGGACAAGAAAAGCAAAGACTGAGGATAATATACTAATAGTACAACAAAGAAGGCAAGAAGAAGTGAGCTTGAGTTTGGAGTCCCAGCAGTGTTTGAACAGGTCAAGACGACGGATTTGGATGCGTACCCTGAAAAAATACAAAACAATGTAAACTTTGAATGCATTAATAGGGATTCGAACCCTCGGCTGGTCTTTAAACTTTTCACTCAAGGCAGGAACTTTGAAGACCTGGGTTACCTCTACCCCATTAATGCTTGAAAACCCACAGTTCACTGTGCTAGGAGTGGAGAGGATGAGGTGGGTTTGTGGAAACAAAAATGCTGAAGAAAGCGAAATGGGAATGTGAAGTGCTTTGACTTGCATCTAGAATCAAAGGATTTCAGATGATGTTATGCATGGAATGGAAAGGAAATCGAAAGTCTCAGGTTGCACGCGGTAGGACGAATTTTTTTGAAAAAACATTGCCTTATCGGGAATGCATTAAGGGGGAATCGAACCCCCGGCGGGTCGACATCTTTATCGTAACGCCCGATGGCAACGACCCAGGTTACCACTACCCCATTAATGCTTGCACAGTGGTCCCCATATAGTTTAGGTAGGACCTGGTAGGGATGTAATGTGGTGAGCAATAGGTACTTAGAATAGAAGGACATGAAAAGCAAAGAGTGAGGATAATATAAAGTAGTACAAGACATAGAAGGCAAGAAGTGAGCTTGAGTTTAGAGTCCCAGCAGGGTTTGAACAGTTCACGACGACGGAATCAGGTGCGAAGATTGAAAAAAAACAAGAGTATTACGGCGACAGAATGCATTAAGAGGGATTCGAACCCTCGGCTGGTCTTGAGATTGCTATTCAACACCGAACTTTAAGACCTGGGTTACCTCTACCCCATTAATGCTTGGCAGCAAGCCATTCACTGTGCCAGCAGTGGAGAGGATGAGGTGGGTTTGTGGAAACAACATGCTGAAAAACAAAAGCGAAATGGGAATGTGAATTGTTTTGACTGGGTTGCTTGCCAGAATCAAGGATTTCAGATGGTGTGCGTTGAACAGGAATGAGATTGAGCAAACCAAAAAGTGCGAAATGGGCACACCAAACCCAAAAAAATAACTACGACTACATGCATTAAGGGGGAATCGAACCCCCGGCGGGTCGAAATTCCCAGTCGAATTTCAGATGGCAACGACCCAGGTTACCACTACCCCATTAATGCCTCATCAATGAGAGGAGGGAGTGCGAACGTGTCGATGTGGGCGATGTTGGCAAGGGTTATGGTGGTCCCAGAAATTCGAGACCAAATTACTTATGGGGAGGACCATGGTATAGGATATAGCATGCGGGCAGTGCAGTTGAACGGATGAGATGATGTGGAAGGAATGAGGTCGTCGTGGAGTCATCATTCACAGTTAATTAATTTGCAAGTGTGATACGCCCGACGGACGATGACTGCAAACACGCCGTCTCTAGGCATCTCTGCGCGCGCCACCGCCGCAAGGCCCAGTCGCGAGAGAGACGAATTGTTGACAGTGACGTCTTAATCGGTCTGGTTGCCGATCTGATTGCCGTTTTGCTCCTCCGCATCCATCTCCCATCTCGACGCCGAAGCTGCATGGACCGCCCACTGGGCCCGCGCCAGCAGCCCCCCGAGCGCAACGCCGCATACGAGGACATCTTCGGGCGCAGGCCGGCTCCGCGTGCACAGCCTGGATTCCCGTACCCGCCACACCCGCAGCAACAATACCTCCCACAGGGATACCCCCAGCAGCAGCAGTATCACCCGCAAGGGCAGTATGCATACCACCCTCAGCACCAACACCAACATCTCCAAGGAGGATACCCGCCGCAGTACCAACCGCAACAACACTACCCCGGCGGCGGTGCACCCTCGCTCCGCGCGCCGTCGCTGCGCCCGCCAAACTCGGGCTACCACCCCGGCGTGCCCGCGCCGCCGCCGGACCGCGCGCTCGACGGGCAGGGGCTGACCCCCGCGCAGGCGTACCAGGCCCAGATTGCCCATGGCGGCGGCGCGTGGCGGAGTCCGAGTCCCGCTCCGGGGCCGTCGCATTCGCCGCTCCAGCATTCGCATCAATTACAAGGACATCCGCAGACCCATGAGCGAGTAGGAGGGGGACCGCTGGGCCAGGCGGGGACGAGGGAGAGCCTCCCGCCCGCGCTGAGCGTCGCGCTTGCGGGCGACGGCGGGCGCCTCGGCATCACCTTCGACGACAGTCCGGGCGGGTGGGGGAGCGACGTCGCCGCCGCTGTCAATGGCAATGGGAATGCGAACGGAAACGCGGATGGGAGGGGAGGCGATGGAGGCGACGCAGACGAGGAGGGCGAGGAGGACGACGAGGAGAGCGAGCTCCCGTGGGCGAGAGGTCGTGAGTGCTCATTCCTTCCTCTTCAATTCCGCCGTGTTCTCTGCATATTCTTCACATCCTTCCCCTCCTTGTTCTCTTGCTTTCTTCGTTTCTGCGTCCCCGATGCGCGCGGTCTCTTCCCACTTCTCGTCGCATCACTCGCGCGCGGAGTCCGTCGCTCCCGGACTCGCTCGCTCGCTCGCATGGGACCGAGGTGCACCAGCATCACCGGCCGCCACACATGCGTGCCACTCATACACATACACCTCAGGCGCGGGTAGCTGGCCCCTCGAGCGTCGAGTCGAGTCGAGTCGGCGGGTGCGTGCGGGCGAGATGACAACAGTCCACACAGACGCGCTCCCACCCCGGACGCGGGGTACCTCCTCGATTGATTGCTTCGTGCACTCTGTCTTTCCCGCTGTCTCTCGTTCTCGTTATTTTCGCTATCCGTGATTCATCATGCGTCATTATTGATATCTTTATTCTCGCCTTCACTTCACACTTCATTTCATTTCACTCATTTCGTTATTTCGTTATTCGTTATCTCTTCCCCCGCCTCCCCTCGCTTCGCTTCGTTATTTTGTTCTTGAATCTTGAATCTTGAATCGTGGGCTGATGGTTTTTGCAGCGCCGCAACGTGAGTTTTGTTCCCCTGCCCTTCCTTCGGTGTCGAAAATTTCGTTTCGTTCGTTTGGTATCGTGGCGTGGCGTTTTCGTTTTCGTTTCGTGTGGTATCGTTTCGTTGGGATATTTCGGGCGCGACGGGACGTTGTATCTGATGAGCGAGCACGCCCATCACGGGGACCTGGCAGGCTATTCATGTCGGCGGGGGTGGCGGTGTCTCGGAGGCTGGCTGGGGGAGGTGTGCGGTGTGCGGTGGGGAGGAGGGTGTGGGTATGGAGGTCGAAGGTCGAGACGCGGCCGCGAGGTGCGAGGTACTCGATACTTGCTTATGCGCTTGCGGGTGCTCGAGATGCCTATCCGCTTGCGGGTGCTGCTCGGTGCTCGGTGCTCGGTGGTCACAGCCGCTCGTGCTCGTGGTCGTTTGGATATTTCGGGCGCGACGGGACCTGGGTCGTGTCTGTATCTGAGGAGCGAGCACGGTGTCTGCATCCCATCACGATGGGGACCTCGCAGGCTATTCATGTCGGCGGGGGTGGCGGTGGGGAGGAGGCTGGCTGGGGGAGGTGTGCGGTGTGCGGTGGGGAGGAGGATGCGGCCGCGAGGTGCTCGATGCTTGCTTACGCGCTTGCGGGTACTCGAGATGCCTATGCGCTTGCGCTTGCGGGTGCTGCGCGGTGCTCGGTGGTCGCAGGCGCTCGTGCTCGATGTACTTACGGACGGGTGGAGGCGCGACGGCGGGGCACGCGTGGATGGCTGGCTGGCTCGACGGGGGGTGTAGCAGGCTTGGCACGGACGGACGCGTGGAGGGTGGTTTCATGCACACGCCGTCGACCCGCGCATGCGCGCCACGGCCGCTTCTCGCTCTCGGATGGGATGGTACGCGGGGGTGGCGGTGTTCTCGGAGGCTGGGGGAGGTGTGCGGTGGGGAGGAGGATGTGAGTGTGCAGGTCGAGACGCGGCCGCGAGGTGCTCGATGCTTTCTTACGCGCTTGCGGGGTACTCGAGATGCCTATGCGCGTGCGGGTGTTGCTCGGTGCTCGGTGGTCGCAGGCGCTAGTGCTCGTGGAGGCGGGACGGCGGGGCGAGGGGTATAGCAGGCTTGACGCGGACGCGTGGACGGGGATTTCATGCACACGCCGTCGACCCGCCCATGCACGCCACGACCGCTTCTCGCTCCCGGGATGGGATGGGACGCGGAAGGAAAGGACTCCCGCGTCGAGTGGAGCGTCCACAACGCGTTAGGTCCCAACCCCAACGTGCGCTTGCCTATTCGCCTGGGGGGGATGTGCTTGGCCACGCCCGCGGGCTCTGCGCCCGGACGCGTGCACCGACGACGCCCGATCGGTTTTTTTTTTTGGCGTCTTTCAAAATGCTGCTTTCTTTTGTCTTTTGTCTTCCCTTCCCTTCTTTACCTCCTTCTCCTCCTCTCCTCCCCCCATATTGCGCAGCCGCATGTACTGACTCGTCTTTTCTGCATACAGAACTCCAATGTGCGTCGCGTTCCGTTCCGCATTTATTCCTTTCCTTTCCGGTTTTGGGTTCATTATTGCGTGCTCCGTTTTTGGTTCATTATTGCGCTCCGTTTTTGGATCTGCGGCAAGAGGGCGGGCGCTCGCGAGGTTTATTCTGGGGCGGATTCTGTTCAAGGTTGTTCTGGCACGCATGCGTTCTTCTGTCGGAAGCGAGGCTGTCGCTTCTCGCCTCGGAAGTCGGTGACCGGGACCGGGTCGGGGCTGTGGAGGGAGAGATGGAGGCGAGAGGGAGAACGCGACGCGGTCCGCTTGTGTGCGTGATTGGCATCCGCGAGCACGGCATCACATCTGGGCTCTCCCTGAGTACAAGCTCAACTCGGTGCCGTCCGTACGCCGTTCTACTGCCTCCTTGCTCTAGGCGCTCCAGGCCGCTCCTTCGCCTCGGCTTCGGTTTCGGCATTTGGGCGTGCATGTCCACTATCGCAGACTGTGCGCCCCAGCCGTTCGCAGACATGCCAGGGTATGCACCCGCGCACGTCCCGTGCCTATCCCTCCCGCGATCCCGCGATGCTCGCGGGATCTCCCTCTTTCGCACCTCTTCCTTTCCATCTCTTCTGCCTTTTTGTGCTATTTTTTGCGCCTGAAGCTTCTTTCTTTTTCCGCTTCCTTCTTTGGTCCACGTCACGCCCTTCTTTGGGCCACGCTCCGTTCGGACTGTCTCCAATCCTTTCTTCTTTCTTTAGCCGCCGGTATTTTTCACCGCGCGCGTGGGGTGTGGGAGGGGGATGGTATTTCGGTAGTTCGGCGCGAGCTGCGGAACGTCGATTGCTTTCGTTAGCTTTCGTCATTCATATTCTGTTCATATTCCTTTCGCCTTCGCTTTCGTTCTGCGCTTCTGCTTTCTCTCCTCTCCCTCCCAGCTCGTCCACCTACCCGCGTCTCGCACGTACTCACCCTCGTCGATATCCGGAGGAGATTGGTGTCCCCGCAATGCTGACCTTTTCGATTCCGGCGATTTGGCAACGTGCGTGTATAGCGCGTTCTGGGTGGGGCAGAGCGTTCTGCGTGTTCGTTTTCGTATTCCATGGTGTGGTGGCGACGACGTGCTGTTGTCGTGGCGGGCTGTGGAGTCGAGTCGACGTGCTGTTGCCATCGCTGCTGCAGTTGCAAACGCGCGCCTTGGGCTTTGTGGCTGGCTATCTGCGCGCGCGCAAGATAATGATCTACGCGCGCGCAGATCGCGCATGTCGTATGCCGTTTTCTGCGTGTTATCGTTTGCAAATTAGTCGAGATGCGGAGATGATACCTTCGGGGGCTTTATCTGCGAGACCTATGACGGAGTGTTTTCGCGCGCTTCTGCTATTATATAGCGCCGAGTTGTGACGATGACGATGCAGTGTCGTCGACGCGACTCGAACGTGCAGTGTGTTTACGGCGCGGCGTTTTTGTTTCGGGTATTTCGGTGGCGAGTGTGGGTGCGCTGTGCCTGTGCTTGGCTTTTTACTCTTGTGTTTCCGGACATTCGCTTTCTGGTTTGCGCTTTCCGAGTGTCTGCGTCCATTCCGCCTTTCCGCTTGCCGCCATCGTCATCGCCATGATACGCGCTAACACGATTCCCACAGCACAATCACAACCGCCGTACGCCGCCGCCGCTGCCCAGTACGCCCAGCGTTACCCCCATGCCGCGCACCGCTTCTCGAGCGCCTCGGACACGCCGCCCACATCCATCCGCTCGTCCGTCGCCAGTTCGTCGACGA